AAGCCTGGGGACCGCGGGTGTGTGAAAACGGCCCCCAAGACCGCCGAACTCAGTCTCCCTTTTGTGCCCCCCGTGCGGCCCAGGGAAGGAGATCAAGGGGTCCAAAGGGTCTCAGAACAGGATGCCCCGGCCTGGGCTCATGGTCAGCCACCCCGCCTCCCCCTCCTTCCTCCTCTGAGCCTGACAGACGCGCCGGCCACGGCCCCGGGACCACAGCCCCGGGACCGGCCCAGACACTCGGACCAGAGCCTGTGGGCTGCACGCACTGTTGCTCTTGCTCGATCTCGCTCTGTCTGTCTCTCTCTCTTTCTTGTGTAAGATGTGTTTTCTCTTTAATTCTACGACCCCTCCTCTATTTAACCTCACCTGGTCTGGACAGGAGGTTTCCAGGGAGCCTGAAGTACGGACGGACCCCCATATCTAAGCAGTGAGATGTCAGGGTGTAGGGCAGGGACGCTTTTTCCTAATGAAGACTACAAGGGCGCCGGTGCCAATGGCTCACGCCTGTCATCCTAGCTACTCAGGAGGCTGAGAGCTGAGGATCGAGGTTCAAAGCCAGCCCTGGGCAGGAAAGTCCGTGAGACTCTTATCTCCAATGAACCACTCAGAAAACCAGAAGTGGCGCTGTGGCTCAAGTGGTAGAGCGCTCGCCTTGAGCTGAAGAGCTGAGGGACAGCGCCCAGGCCCAGAGTTCAAGACCCATGACTGACAACAACAAAAAAGAGTACGAGGGAATGGTGGGTGTGTCTTTATGGTAGGTAGGGGATGGAGGAGAGGATGTGGGGTCCGGGGGCTGTCCAGGCTCTCGTCATGCAGAAGACCCCGTACTGGGATCCCTGTCCGATCAGTTGGAACAGAGTGCTAGGCTCCGTGCGGGCGGGGTGGAACACACACGCGCACACACGCATGCACGCATGCACGCACACCTCTGCCTGTCCTTTCACCCCTGGGGGAATCCTGGTACCCAGGTGCCCCTCCTCGCTCCTGAGTCTTCCCCCTGAGGCCCCCGGGCGGCGTGGGTCCTGCGGAAGTCCCCTCCGGACTCCCGGGGCTGCTCCCGCCCGGCGGGTGCTTCCCCTGCTCCGGCTTCGCTCCTGCGCCCGCCTCCTCTGGCCGCTCCTGTCCTCTCTCTGACGCTGCTTCTCGCCTCGACCTGGTCCGTGGCCGCGGGGCCTTCCCTTGTGCTTGATCTAACCATGTGGCAGCTCTGCAAACGAAACATGGTTCTGTCAAGCACCGAGGAAAGCCTGGCGTTCTCCAGCTCGGCCGCCGCCGTCGCCGCCAGCACCGGACGCTTCTCCACTCGGACGCCGCAGCCCGCCTGCCAGGGGGGCCGGGAGGGGCTTCCCGGGGTCCCCCCGGAGGGCCAGAGGCAGGCCGGGGTACCCACCCAGTCCGGTCCGATGCCAGCCCAGCTGTCCATGCAGGGGGATGAGGGATGGAGAGCACCCCTTGTTGTGCTGTAACCGGAGCACAGTGCGGCTCACTAGGGAGCTGGAGTCTGCATCCCACCCACAGGAGACCCCTCCTAGAACCCAGAGCTCCCAGCGAGCTGTGTGGCTCTCCCCGACCCCCCAGATCACCTGCAGAGCCCCGGCCGTTGGTGTCCCCGGAGCTCTCCAGACTTTTTATTTATAATGTACCGAGAGCTTGCTGTCAGCCTCACGCTGGACTGTGTAGTGCGATCGCTGCGTTTACTTTCCATCCTATCTTAACACTTGGCGTCTGTCCCAGAGAGCGTAGCCTTCCTCAGCGCTGCCCCCCGCCCACCGCGCCAGGGGCCAGGCCTGGGGAGCCGACCCCTCGCGTGGGTCCCGGCCGGGCGGCTGGACTCCGGGATAGATCTGCACCCAGACCACAGGGGGACCGCTGGCGAGGACAAACCCAAAACAGCTGCGGGGACGGGTCCCCGGCTGGCCGGCCGGCCCGTGAGTGGGGACGCTGTCCGTGTGCCCGGCTGGCTGCGGCCTCCACCTTCCACGCACCACTAACCACCTTTCCTGCTCACCACTTTCCGTTCACGCTGCTGGGCCACGGCGGAACTTGGTCTTCCGTTCCTCTTTTGCTTCTCTGTCATCCGCCCAATCTCAGGGGCATTGGTGGGGGGGGAGGAGAGTGTTCTGAGCCCACGAACCAGCTGCTCAGCTGGCCATGCATTTAGTGACTTCTTCCTTGCAACAAGCCACTGCCGGAGAGTGGCACAGGGCACAGCATCCTGGGGCCGTGGCCTCCTCCCCCCGGGGCCCGGGGTTGGTTTATCTCCACCTTCCTGAGTTACTTCTGGGAGGCATAGGCGGCCACGGGGCCGAGATTCCTCACACGGCCGTACTGCTGTGGATTTCCACCTGTGACACACCGCACTCTGTCTATTAAAGCTGTCAGTGATCACACACCAGGTGTCAGTGTTCTGAACCTGTGGGGGGAGGCAGGGGACCCAGGGGGGACACCAGTTGGCGTGGTCTCTCCGCACGAGCCTGGCTGGACGTTGGAGGTCTGTCCTCCTGACATCTTGCAAAAAGCACCGCTGCTCCTGGCTGCTTCCGGCCTCATCAGGGCTTCTGGTGGCGACAGATACACAGTGAGATTGAAATTCACTCTTCAAGCTCATCCAAAGTTGAAAGTCCTGTGGGGTAGTGCTGAACAGGACACACGGCCCTGCAGGAGCCCGCTAGGTTCAGTGTGATAGAAGCGGCACTGAGGGCCGGCTCCAGCCACAGAAGGGACTTGTCGGGATTACGTGCAGATACTGGAACACAGTTCTGTCCTCTCCCTCCCAAGCCCCTGGGTACCGCCAAGTAGAGCTCAGGCAAAACGGCAGGAGGAAGCCCAGGGAAGAACACACGGGTTCATCCGGTCTGATCGCGGGATGGTTTCTTTAAGCTGGGTCAGCCGCTCCGTGGCCGAGGCTGGCCGGTTATCACGACGGTAGAATCTAACAGTTACAACCCGACGTGTGCGCTGTCCGCCCGTCCCAGAGTCCTCCCGCTCACCACGCACGGCCTCACCCCCCTTCCATGGAAAGTGTCCACAGCCGGCCTAGTGTGCCGAGGCCGCCGCCTCCTCTGTCCTCTGCCTGTGGTCAGCGGCCAGGATGCCGCCACGCCACAAGGATCTTGTGATAGACCTGTTCCCACAGAAGAACCCGCACGCACACGCCGTGGGCACCCTGTAGCTCCAGCCAGGGGCCCAGCAGGGTTTGCAAAGCGAGGTTCCCCGGGGTGGGGAGGGGGCCTCACAGGGGTGTGTCCAGGTCAGAGTTGCTCCACGGCCTGGGGGTGACCAGCCCTGGGAGTGGATTTGTACCACACGCTGGGCCTCCAGGGCTGAGATCCACGTGCTGGTTGTGTCTTCCTGAGCTTGAGGAGATGGAGCAGGGCGGGACAAGAGGAAGCAGCCCGCTGGGGTTCCCTGGTCCCGGCAAGGAGGGTCCACCATCATCGGGCAGCCGCGAGGCTCACTCCTGACCAGGATGGTCCCAGGAGGGGAGATGACACTGGGGTCCACAAACCTCAGGACAGGGTCCTAGCCCTGTTGGGTCAGGGATCAGAACGCCCCCACAGATCTGCACGTGTGCCTGGCATGGAGCCGGTGGGTGAATGAGGGGAGGGCGGCAGGCCGGGCCCCATGGGTGTCTGTCTGGGGAGCCGCCGTGTCCCATGGGCTCATGAGTATCCGCCGGGGGTCCCCAGAGACATCCGACGGTCAGCCAGCCCTGTGTCTGTTCCTGGGAGACCCTGGGAGAAATGCGATGTTGGGGGACGGGGAGAAATAATAATAAGATGTGTAACTGTAACCCCTCTGTGCATCACCTTTGTAATAAAAATAAATACATTAAAAAATAAGTCCAGCTCCCCTTCCCAGCTCAGGGCTCACTGTCCCGAGACACAGCCTGAGCCAGACTCTCACAAACCCTTTGCTCTTCTTCACAGACTTCCAAATTTAACGTGTCACCATTATTTCCTATCTGCCTTTTTTTTAAAACAATAAAAATAAGCCGGGCACCAGTGGCTCACGCTTGTTATTCTAGCCACTCAGGAGGCTAAGATCTGAGGATTGCAGTTCAAAGCCATCCTGGGTGGGAAAGTCCCTGAGACTCCTATCTCCAATAAACCACCAGAAAACCGGAAGTGGCGCTGTGGCTAACGCAGTAGAGCGCTCGCCTTGAGCTGAAGAGCTGAGAGACAGCGCCCAGGCCCAGAGTTCAAGCCCCATGACAGACAAAAAAAATTAAAATGAGAAGGGCTACCAGCCGCCTGGCGCCAATGTTGTGGGTTCTAATTCTCCCAGGGCCCAGCCCTGAGCAAGCCAAGGCCGCTTGTCAGCGGTCACTTGGGAGCACAGGCCAGGGCTCTTTTGGGGTGTCTGTGGCCCGTCCAGTGTCGGTGCCCGCCCCTGGAGTACCCCCGGAAGCCCTGTCGGAGCCTCTTCCCTCGGGAGGACCCCGAGGTTCAGAGGCCGAGTGCGGCCCTGGCTTCCGGCCCGGGCACCACACTGCGCTCTGATTAGCACACGCGTCTGCAGACGCATGCACGGCACGCGGCGTGGCCCCCGCACGCACACTTACACCTGTGGCTCCTCCGAGCCCGGCACGGAGGGCTGGCCTCAGCTCCTCCCAAAGACCCGTGACTGCACCTGGCCCCCCGAGCTCACACGTGACAGGTGGCCAGGCCTACGGGTCAGCCAGGTGGCCCACCACCCTCGGCGAAAGGCCCCGGGGCTGGGCCTCGCCTGTCCCCCGCCACAGCCTGGGCCCGGGCCACCTCCCGCTGACACCCATTCCCCCTTCGGTCCCCCAGGCTCTGAGGATTACCGCAGCCGGCTCAGCGGCCAATGCTTCATGGATCTGGTGTGCCCCGAGAAGTGTCGCTGCGAGGGTACGGTGGTGGACTGTGCCAGCCAGAAGCTGTCCCGGGTCCCCGCTCACCTCCCTGAATACGTCACCGACCTGTGAGTCCAGCCCCCCCCCCCCCCCCCCCCCACCGGCCACAGCTAAGTCACCCCACCCCTGCCTCTGCCCCCCCAGGCGGCTCAACGACAACGAGATCTCTGTTCTAGAAGCCACCGGCGTCTTCAAGAAGCTGCCCAACCTCCGGAAGATGTAAGTCAAGTGCCGGGGCGCGGCTGCCGCCTCCCCCTCCTGCCCCGGTTTTCCCCACACCATTCCTGTGCCGGGGAGCACGGACCTCCGGGCGGACGTCTGTTCCTGGGGAGGCCTCGTGTCTGTGCATCGGGGCTCCCCGAGAGCCGCGCCCCTCTGGAAGGGGACCCCCTGGGTTTTCTCCAGTCTTCTCTGCTCACCGGTCCCTGCTGGCGGGATCTGAGAGACAGACAGACAGACAGACAGACAGAACGTGCCCAGGTCTGATCCACCAAGGCCAGGGACACTGGAAACACAATGACGCCCAGTCCCCTCCGGCCCCATGGGGTCTGTGCCCGGCTGCAGGGTCCCCAGCCGCCAGTGCCCAGAGCTGACCGTCGGGGGCCGGCGTCTGAGCCCCCACCATGAAGCCTTTGGGCTGGGGTGTCTGCGGGGCTGAGGGGGGTCCCCCTTTCCATCCGTCTCCCTCTCTCCCTCTCGCAGAAACCTGAGCAACAACAAGATCCGGGAGGTGCGAGAGGGCGCCTTCGAGGGAGCGGCGGCCGTGCAGGAGCTGGTGCTGACCGGGAACCAGCTGCAGGCCGTGCACGGGCGGGCCTTCCGTGGGCTCAGCGGCCTCAAGACCCTGTGAGCGCCCGGCCAGCCCCCGGGGGACTGGGAGGGGGGGATCCAAGCCACACGGTGCGCATGTGTGCGTGCGTAGGCGTATGAACGTGTGCATACACGTATGCGCGGGCAGGCACGCCACACCAATGCTCACGTATGAAAACGCAGACACACACAAGTAGATGCACCCACAAAGGGACATGTATTCCAGCACGCATGTGTAGATACCACACAGATACACGCACACACGTGCGCACACCCGTGCACACCTGCACACTGCATCCCTGCAGCACGGTGAGGGAGACACGCACACGAGTTTACCCCACACACAGACACGGGTTTATAGAAGTGACCTGCGTGCAGACACCTGTGCACACCTGCGTGCACGTGTTCATAGGAAAATCTGATTTTCACGCACACGAATGCACGCCTGTGCAGGCCTTGGGACCACGCACGCTCCCCGGGGTGCTGCAGGACGGGAGCCCTGCCCCCCTCCCCCCTGCCCTCCTCCCCCTGCCCCCCTCCCCCTGCCCCCCTCACCGCCCCTCCCCTCTCCAGGATGCTGAGGAGCAACCTGATCAGCTGCGTGGGCAACGACACGTTTGCCGGCCTGAGCTCCGTGCGGCTGCTCTCGCTCTACGACAACCGCATTGCCACCATCGCCCCAGGAGCCTTCACCACGCTGGTCTCCCTGTCCACCATGTGAGTCCTGGCCGGCCCCGCCCCGGGCTCCACCCTCAGCGAGCCCCTCCCACCCAGGCCGCCCTCCCGTCCATCATCCTGGAAGGGTGTCCCCCTCCCTTGGCAGGACCGAGCACGGGGCGGGGGGGGGGTGCATTCTGGAGGGCCAGCTCGTGGCAGAAAGCAGCCGGCACGCCTCCTTCAGTGCCGGAAGAGTCTGTGCAAAGGCCCTGTGGTGTGGTGGCTGGAGCAGACTGTGGGGGACCAGGCCAATGGGGAACTGAGTGCACGTGCCGTTCCCTTGTCTTGGCGCCCTCAGAAACCTGCTGTCCAACCCCTTCAACTGCAACTGCCACCTGGCCTGGCTGGGCCGCTGGCTGAGGCAGCGGCGCGTGGTCAGCGGGAACCCACGGTGCCAGAGGCCCTCCTTCCTCAGGGAGATCCCCATCCAGGATGTGGCCTCCCAGGACTTCACCTGCGAAGGTGAGCAGGGGGCGGGGCGGGGCGGGCGCCCAGGGAGGGATGGGACAGGCCCAGCCCCCGCCCAGGCTCCACCCGGCTCCTGGACTCCCGTCACTCATCTCCGTGGGGCGGACATGGCCCTCCTCGAGCTCAGATCCCGGTGAGCTCCGGGAGGACACTTGCGTGTCCCCCACGGGCCGCGCTGGGGACCCCAGTGCTGAGCATCCTGGGAGCCCTGGGCCCTGTCTTTCTTTCATATAGCATGTTCTCATTAAAACACGGCACCAGCGGCTCACGCCTGTTCCCCTCGCTACTCGCGAGCCTGAGATCTGAGGATGGGGGTTCAGAGCCAGCCTCAGGCGGGAAAGTCTGTGAGACTCTGATCTCCACCAAGCAGCCGGAAGTGGCGCTGTGGCTCCAGTGGTGGAGCACTAACTAGCCTTGAGCACAAAAGCTCAGCGACAGCGCCCAGGCCTTGAGCTCTCGGGACCAGCACTGACAGAGGGAGGGAGAATGGGCGGGGCGGGGAGGAACGTCCACCCCTGTGGGGGGGACATGCACACGGGAAGACCCGGGGCCGGGGCTCTGTTCCCAGAGCCCGGGTGTGTTTCAGCCAGCAGCACAGTTAGGGAAACAGGACGGGAACACTGGTGAGACCTCCTTCCCCTCCCTCCCTCTGCTTCCTGGAGGCTCTGCCCGCAGCCTCCAAACACCAGGAAAGGCAGACAAGTCCTGCCACGGAGGACACCGGCCCCTCCCTTCACCCTGGCTCTGGTTCATTGCCGGGGTGGGGCAGCGCACGCTGACCATCCCGCCTTGCCTGACTCTCCCCTGCTGGGCTCTTCACCCTCCGTGCTCACCCTCCCTGGTCTCTACAGGCAACGAGGAGAGCAGCTGCCAGCCGAGCCCGCGCTGCCCAGAGCCGTGCACGTGCGTGGACACCGTGGTTCGGTGCAGCCACAAGGGGCTACGGGGCCTCCCCGCCGGCATGCCCAGGGACGTGACGGAGCTGTGAGTGCCAGCCTCGGGCATCCGCCTGGGTGCCGTCCCCGGGAACTCTGTGCCACACCCAGCCGCGGGAGCAGAGGAGAAGGTGGTAGAGAAGGAGCCCGGGCAGGGGTGGAGACAGGGAGACGGGGGCTGCTCTCCAGCCCCGGTGGTGGGAGCGCCTTCCACTGGAGAGCCAGGCCAGGCCCCGTGCGGCGGCTCACGCCTGTAATCCTAGCCACTCGGGAGGCCGAGCTCTGAGGAAGCCAATGCTCTGCAGAGCCGCCCAGCCCGGCAGGGCAGTCCCCCGCGGAGCGGCTTCTCCCCACGCACATCCTCACTCTGCTCCTGCGCCCCAGGTACCTGGAAGGAAACCACTTGACCACGGTGCCCAGGGAGCTGGCCACTCTCCGCCACCTGACACTCATGTGAGCAGCCTGCGGGGGGGGGGGGGCTGTGCTGCTCCTGTGAGTGCTGCAGGCACTGTGTGTGTGTGTGTGTGTGTGTGTGTGTGTGTGTGTGTGTGTGTGCGCGCCCACTTAACTACCCACTTACTCGTGTAAGTGCATGGGAGAATGAACCAGAGCTGCAATGGAAGACGAGCATTAGGATGCGTGCACACTGGGCCAGTAGCTAAAGAGGTGGGAGGGTGCATGGTGGGTAAATAGGACAGTGACTGGGTGTGTTGGTGGGCGAGGGAATGGAGGAGTAGGTGGGTGGGTGGATGGATGGATGGGCAAATGAGTGGGTAAACAGAGATAAGTGAATTCGTGATTGGATGAGTGGATGAGGAGGTGGATATGTGGCTGAGTGGATGAGTGGATGAGTGATTGGTAATGTGTAGATGGATGAGTGGATGCATGAATGGATGGACAGGTGGATAAATGGATGGATGGATGGACAAATTGATGGATGGATGGATGGATGGATGGATGGACAGGTAGATGGACAAATTGATGGATGGACAAATGGATGGATGGACAAATGGATGGATGGGTGGACAGGTAGATGGATGGATAGATGGATGGACTGATAGATGGGTGGATGGATGGATGGATGAATGGATAGATGGGTGGATGGATGGATGGATGGAAGGATAGATGGACAAATTGATGGATAGATAGATGGTGGATGGATGGATGGATGGTGGGCCAGATGGTTGGATGGATGAACAGATGGACATATGTGTGGACATGTACATGGACAGACGGATATATGGGTGCATGCATGCATAGATGGATGGATGGTCAGATAGATAGATGGATGGACAGATGGATAGATGGGCAAATGGATGGATGGATGGACAGATGGACATGTGGATAGACAGACAGATGGACATATGGATGCATGCATGGATGGATGGTCTGATAGACAGATAGATGGATAGATGGATTGGTGGTAGCTGCATAGATGGATGGATGCATAGATGGATGGATTGATGGACATGTGGATAGATAGGTGAATGGATGAGTAGATGGGTAGATGGATTAATGATAGGATAGACAGATGGATGCATAGACTGATGGATGGTCAGCTAGATGATGGATAGATGGTGGTTGGGTGGAAAGACAAGCGGACAGACAAATGGACGGATGGATGGGATGCAAATGTGACACGGGGAAATCTTCCTTCGAACACAGCCAACGGTAAGCCATGGCCCTGTGTTTTGCTCCTCCTAGCGACCTGAGCAACAACAGCATCAGCGTGCTGACCAACTACACCTTCAGCAACATGACCCACCTGTCCACCCTGTGAGTAGAGGCCGGCGGCCCGCCGACCGTGCCCCCAGTGGCTCTGCTCCTTGCTCTGCCAGGGCGAGGGGTGGGCCTGGGTCACCGGCAGGAAAGTGGGCAGAGGAGGGGGCAGAGGCTGGCCTCGTTCATGCAGACACCCAGCCTCCTGCGCCCCGCAGGCCTCTGCCTCCAGCAAGGTGTCTGGCTCAGATGCACTGACTCTCGAGGCTTTGTGTGTGCTTGGCCCAGCGGGAGGCCGGCCCCGGACCCTGGGGGAGGCAGAGGCCTGGAGCCAACGCGCTTTCTGGCGTTGACTCTCTCTGTCAGGGTCCTGTGTGGGTGCGTTTAGACAAGGAAGGGGAGGACTGTGTACCTGGGAGTGGCCGGCTGTACCCCGGGGCTCATCCACACCTGGGCATAGCTTGGGGCACGGCCCAGACACCTTGCGCCTCCTTCCGCAGCATCCTGAGCTACAACCGGCTGAGGTGCGTCCCCGTCCACGCCTTCCACGGGCTGCGCTCCCTCCGAGTGCTGTGAGTCCCCGGGGCCCGGGTTGGGTTTTTGATGGCTAGGGGCAGCGGGGAGGGGGGGTTACAGGGAGGGTCAACCTGAGGGCCCGCGTCCCGCACCCCCCCAGGCCCATCCGGCCACCGCCATGGGGGAGCCCTCCCCCCAGCAAACCGCACGGCCCCTGGGGCCCTGCGTGGGCCAGAGTGGGACAGGACCCAGGGCCTGGCCCGCCACGTCGGTCCTCCAGGAAGCCCTCCGTGCGGAGGGCCACGCAGAGGGCTATGCCCAGCCTCCCTCTGGCTTTGGGTATGGTGCGGGCCTCCGCTCCTCGCGGCGTCAGACCATTCCAGCCCCTTGCCCGGCCCTGCCCGGCCCTCATCAGCCCTCACCACCCCCACCCACCCCCACCCACCCCCCACCCCATCCCCCGTCTACCAACTGTTATGATTAAGTCGACTGCTGGAAAGCGGATCTCTGTATACCCGTTCACAATTAGGGGAGCTCTGGTTGGGACAGCTCAGTGGGCGTCAGAATGGGAGGAGCAAAAAGAAATAGCGTTTGTCCGCCCGCTGCCTCTCAGGGGGATAAGGGGGTGCCCGGCACCACCCCCACTTCCCCAGCCCTCCGCATACGCCATCAGACGGAAAGCTCATCTCTGTGCGATATGCTTGGCTCCTTGAATGAAGTGTCAGCAGGCTAGCCGGGCGCCAGAGACTCGCGCCTCTCACCCTAGCTACTCAGGAAGCTGAGATCGGAGGGTGGTGGTTCAAAGCCGGCTCGGAGAGGCCACCAAAAAGCCATGGCTCGCATGGTACCACGGCAGCCTTAGGTGAAAAAAAAAAAAAAACAGCAATGTGGGAAGGGTTTTACCACCTAGCCATGCCTGGAAGAAAGAAACATCATTATTATTCCATGTAAACATTTACGCTATGAGAAAGACTGTGGCAGGACAGTGGAAGGAAACTGCGGACGGCTGAAACACAGCCATGTCTGTGATAAGGAAGCCGAGGTTAAGAGGAGAGAAGATAATAATGAGGCAGCAGAGACAGTTTCGGGAGAACCCCCCGAGGGGCCTTTTGAAATCCGCAGCTTCATTGTCTGCAAGTGGATTTGAGCACCCGTGCACGTACCCCCCAAATCTTTCTTTCTTTTCCCTGCCATTCCTGGGGCTTGAACTCAGGGCCTGGGCGCTCTCCCTGAGCTGCTTTTTGCTCAAGGCGAGCGCTCTACCACTGGAGCCACGGTGCCACTTCCGGCTTTTTCTGTGCATGTGGTGCTGAGGATTCGCACGCAGGGCTTCATGCGTGCTAGGCCAGCGCTCTGCCACTGAGTTGTTAGTTTTCAATGCTTCTCACCGCTGGGTTCACCTGATCCCACGGCCTTCTGTGGCAAATCGTGCTTTATTCTCCCCACGGTATAGCAGGAAAGTGAGGCTCTGAGCAGGGTCAGCACAGGGTTACAGAGCCGGCAGGCTGGCCGGGTCCAGCTCAGGCTGCAGGTGACCACCTCCCGTCCATCTCCTCTGAAGCCCCACAACCCACAGGTGGATACAACCTTTCCAAAATGGAGACTTGGCACCTGCCACCACGAACAGGGGCTGGGTTCTGACTCCATCCAGGGCTCTGGGGTGTGAAGCCGAACCCCCTTCCTCCCCCAACCCTCTGCTTTCATGCAGAGGAACCTCTGGGCACCTGCACTGGGCTGGGGGCGGGGGGTGGAGGGGAGAATCAGCCGGAGCTGCCAGCAGGGGGCTCTGGGAAGCACCGAAGGGGCTGAGCCAGGCCCAGACTGCGGCCCCCTGACCTGTGCCTCCTGCCCCAGAACCCTTCACGGCAACGACATCTCCAGCGTCCCCGAAGGCTCCTTCAACGACCTGACGTCTCTGTCACACCTGTGAGTAGCCCCCGCCCCCCCTGTGCACACCGGTACCCAAGGGCAAAGATGCTCACATCCTTTATGCAAAACAGCCTGATTTGCATGCGCCCCACCCATCTTCAACCATATAAATGCTGCGGAGATGGTTTCTTTACGGCCTGGCTTAGGGAAGAAAGCCAGTCTCTACCTGAGGGGCCTGGCCATGACTCTTTCTCTTACTTTTGGCCCTCAGTTGGTTGCTTCTGCCCAGGTAGAGCCTGCAGAGCAGAAAGATTTTCTACTGCTAGATTTTTGACAGATCTTGAGTTTGTAACACACACACACACTCACTTACTTCAGTTCATGTATCCTCTCTCTCTCTCTCTCTCTATATATATATATATATGTTTATATGCATATACATATACTTGATAACATGTTATCATTCTAACAAGTATTATGTACAGTGATATTTGTAACTATAGGAAACGTGACAAAAGAATAGAATTTTTAGCTGGGTGCCAGTGGCTCACACCTGTCATCCTAGCTTCTCAGGAAGCTGAGATCTGAGGATCACGGTTCAAAGCCAGCCCGGGCCAGAAAGTCCGTGAAACTCTGATCTCCAATAAACTACTCAGAAAAAAACAGAAGTGGAGCTGTGGCTCAAGTGGTAGAGCGCTCGCCTTGAGCACAAAGAGGCTCAGAGACAGCAGCGCCCAGGCCCTGAGTTCAAGCCCCAAGATCAGAAAAAAAAAAAGTATCATTTAAAAAAAATTCTAGAATGTTCTTCCTAATACCACTAGGACCGCACCTAAGAGCTCCCTCCACGTCTCCCACCCACCCACCCACCCCTGCCCTGGGTCTCCAGGTCGAGTGACTTGAGGCTGCTCCCTGGGTTCAGACCGCAGAGCAAAGCCTGAGAGGTGGCGGACTCGGTGGGGTTGGGAATTCGGCTTCTCCTACGGGCGCCAGGTGGGACACGACCCCATCCAGCCCCAGCATGCAGATTCTGCCCGTGGGCGGGCCTCACACCCCCTTCTACCTCCTAGGGCGCTGGGAACAAACCCTCTGCACTGTGACTGCAGCCTGGCCTGGCTCTCGGAGTGGGTGAAGGCCGGATACAAAGAGCCCGGCATCGCCCGCTGCAGCAGCCCCGAGTCCATGGCCGACCGACTCCTGCTCACCACGCCCACCCACCGCTTCCAGTGCAGGGGTAAGTGCTGCCGCTTCCCCCCTGGGGGGGTGGGGGTCGAGGGGCCTGCTCTGCCCCCCTGAGTCACGCAAGCCCTCCTGCACTGTGCACGCGCTACCACACGCTCTGCGTCTAAACCTCCAGGGTCCCAGATCCCTCAGCATCCAGGGGAGACTGGATCCCAGGGGTACCAAAGCCCCCCTTACCGGGTGTCAGATTTCCTCAAAAACGGCTATGATAAGACCGACTAGGATGCAAACGTGAGATAACATGTTGCTGTTCTATGCTGTTTGGGGCGCAATGAGCAAAAGTCGAGGGCCCTGCGTTTGGCTGGGACTCTGTGACTGCTTCCTGTGGTGGGTTGAACCTGCACCCATGAGCCCCCTCCCCATCCTGGGACAGACTGAGGTCTGACCTCAGGGCCTCACACGCACCCGGCAGGCAGGCAGGCAGGCAGGCGCCCCAGACTCCAGCCTCTCAGCCAGCCCTGGTTATTCCACGGTGGTTCTGTCCTCTGCATCCCCAGTGCCCGGGGTGACAGACGCATCGCGGGTGTGGCCTTGGTGGTCCTCCCGATGCTGGCTCTAGAGCAGCTGGGGGTCGCGGCGTGAGCCACCGTGCCGGATCACGAACTTACACTCCCAGCGCCCATCTTCTCCCCGTGGCGGTACCATGTCAGCATGCTCCTCATCTTTATGCACAGACTTCCTGTCCTCTGAGTGCCTTGTTTTCTTTATTGGTGCACATTAGTTATACGGGGGAGGATTCGGTTGTGACATTTCCACGCACGTACGCAGCCAAGTCCCTTTTGCCTTCCTAAAACAACTTCAGCTAGTTTCGCTGCTCTATTTTTTTTCTTTTTTTGGCCAGTCACGGGGCTTGAACTCAGGGCCCGGGCTGTCCCTGAGCTGCTTTTTGCTCAAGGCTAGCGCTCTACCCCTTGAGCCACGGCGCCACTTCCGGTTTTTTCTGTGTATGTGGTGCTGAGGAGTCGCACCCAGGGCTTCATGCGTGCTAGGCGAGCGCTCCACCACGGAGCCACCTTCCCAGCCCCTCTTGTTGCTTTGGTTTTTGTCGCTTTGTGTTTGGACTGTTCGAGCTAGGACCCGTTAAAGTCCTGCGATGCAGTTTGCCTGGACACGGGGGGCCCTGGTTGGTCACAGCTGTCTGCAGCACAGACACCCCGCCCCATGGCAAAGCTCCGTGATGGGGAGGGGAGGGGGGCCTCCCCTCCACCCTCCTGCTGAAGGAAGCCAGCAGGAGACCCTTGACTACATCCTGGGGGGAAGGGAGACCCCCAAACACCATCCCAGCATGGCCCCTGGGCAGCTTCCTGATCTGGGGAGCGGCACTGCCGGAAGGACTTCCTTGTGCCTCTGGCCTTAGCCCAGGCCCATGTAAGATCCCCGTAGAGCCCCGGCCCAGCTTCCCGAAGATACACCCAGGGTTCCTCATTATGGTGCATTGTTCACAGATTAGCACCCAAATTGGATCAGGCTAATTCCTGTAACTGATGTCACTGCGGAGAGCTTCTGGGTAGCGTCCCGCTGTGACTCCTGCTGGCTGGACGCTGGACGGGGGCTGGCTGACTGGGACTCCAGCCAGACAGAGAGAGCCAGCCGCGCTGGGGCCCAGGCGTGGGGAGTGGCAGCAAGGGGAGGGAGGGAGGGCGGGCGGTGGGCAGTACCCCCCTCCCCGCGGGCCTGCCCCTGACACCCTGCTCCGCCGCCCAGGGCCAGCGGACGTCAGCATCGCCGCCAAGTGCAACGCCTGCCTCTCGGGCCCGTGCAAGAGCAACGGCACGTGCCGCCCGGACCCCGTGGAGCATTTCCGCTGCGCCTGCCCCCCCAGCCACAAGGTGCGGCGCGGCGTCTTCTCGGTCTCGGCCTCAGGGCGGGGAGGCTGGGCCAACGATGGCCGTGCCCAGGGCAGCCTGGGCAACTCCGTGTCCCAGTTCGTTTACTCTCCTCCATGCAGTCAGAGGGCACCCCATGTCCCCCCACCCCCCCGCGTCCCCCACGGAGTCCCAGCAAGGATGCCCTGGGGCCTGGGAGGAAACGCTACCTTTGTGTTTTCTCCGTGGGACTGGGGGAAATGACACCCCCAGAGCCAGAACGTTGAGGTGCCCCTGGGTGAAGGCACCCCTCCCCCGACCCCTGCCTTGACCCCCTCGCCCCCAAGTCCTGTCTGGAAGAGTTGCTTGCAGCATGAGAGGCTCTGAGGAGGGCAGGGTCTGCAGGCCTGCCCCCCCTTCCCCACCAGCTCACCACCTCGGCCAGCAAGGGCATGAGACCAGTCCACCTGGGGCGTGGACACAGGGCCAGGCACTGTCCCTGAGCTGTTGTGCATGGGTGGTGGTGGTGCTAGACAGACAGACAGACAGGCAGATGGACGAAGTCAGGTGGGCCTTTTCTGTGTGGTGTGAGGCCAGCACCAGTGTTTCGGAACATTCTGGATTTTGGGTTTGGGCATTAGGGGTTCTTGTTACTCCCTGAGGCCCGTGGGGCTGGGGGCTGGGGAGGGGGTGCACAGAGGCCAGGCCTGTCCCTCGGCCCAGCCTGCCTGCCTAGTGCCAGCTGCTTCCCAGCCCCAGCGACCCCATGGGCAGATGGAGAGGAGATGCATCCAGGACAGAAGAGGGCGTGGTGACGCTGGCGTCACAGCCCCTGGGCTCCACCCCCTCGCCTTCTCCCTGGAGGAGGCTGGGAGCTCCCAGGGCCTCGTGGGTCCCTCCCCAGACCCCTGTCCCTCTCGCATCCCCCAGGGCAAGGACTGCGCCGTGCCCGTCAACCCCTGTGCCCAGGACCCCTGCCAGCACGGCGGCACCTGCCACCTCAGCGAGGTCCACCAGGAAGGGTTCAGGTAGGCGCTCGGGCCGCCACTCACCCGGGCTGTTACCCCACCCCGCCCCATACCGTGCAGAGGAGGAAACAGAGGCAGCAAGGGGGAAAACGTCCTTTGCCCAGAGTCACCCAGCCAGTGGGATGGCCGGGACCGGCCTCCAGAAGCCAGCGGCACAGACCGCTGCACAGACATGAATCATTCCAGAAGCCACCTCCAGCTGGGGGGGGGGGGGCTTCCAGAATGAGGTGACAGGAGGCTAGAGTGGGAAGACCCAGGGAACCGTTTCTTGGTGTGTCCCCGAGAAACACCCGACTAACCGACTGCCCCGACCTCTCTCTCCTCCCTTCCAACCCGCCTCTCCGGGCGCCTGGCTCCCCGCCCTCCCCACAGCTGCTCCTGTCCCCTGGGTTTTGAGGGGCATCGGTGCGAGGCCAACCCGGACGACTGTGAGGACAATGACTGCGAGAACAACGCCACCTGCGTGGACGGCATCAACAACTACGCGTGCGTGTGCCCGCCCAACTACACGGGTCAGTACGCCCGCCTCCCCGCCCGCCCACCCCCCGGCACGGCCCGCACACGCCAGACAGCCCCGGTCCCCAGCCATCCTGTGCCCTGAAGGACAGGAGGATCCCACGGCTGCGGTCTCAAGACCAAAACGCCCATGTCCACACCCACCTGTCCCCCTGGCCTAGGCATCCCCCACTATCCACCCCCTCGTCCCCCGACACCTGACTTCTCTTCCCCGTGCCCGCCAGGCGAGCTGTGTGACGAGGTGATCGACCACTGCATGCCTGGGATGAACCCGTGCCAGCACGAGGCCAAGTGCGTGTCCCTGGACAAGGGGTTCCGGTAAGGCCAGGCTGCGCGGCCCAGCGCGGCTCACTGACTGGGTCCCCACCAGTCTGGGGTTGAGGCTCTGAGTGGACCCCCTCCCTACCTCCCTCCCTCCCTTTCTTCCCCTCTCCCTCTCTCTTGCTATGTGTTTCTCTGTTTCTGCCTCCTTCGTGTTCTGATCTTCTCAGTATGTTTCCCTTTGCGCACACCTCTGTCTCTGGTGGGTTTTCTCTTTCTCTAGGTTTCTGCCAAGAGACAGAGATCATGGAAGGATGGATGGATGGATGGATGGATGGATGGATGGATGGATGGGTAGGTGGATGGATGGATGGTGGCTGGGTAGATGAGTGGGTAGATGATAGGTGGAGTCAGTGGATGGACTGATTGATGGATGGATGAATGATGGATTAGTGGGTGGGTGGATGGATGAGTGGGTAGATGGATGGATATCTGACTTGATGGGTGGGTGGATGGATGGATGGGTGGATAGATAGATTGGTGGATGGATGGATAGATGGATGGATGGGTGGATCAGTAGGGAGATGGGTGAGTGAATGGATAATGGATGTGTGGATGGATGGATGGATGGGTAGATGGGTAGGTACATGGATGGATAGATAATAGCTGGGGGTCAATGGATGGACTGACCAGTGGATGGATGATGCATTGGTAGATAGATCAATGGATGATGGACGGCCTGCGTGGATGGATGGACAGTTGGGTGTACGGATGCATGATGGGTGAGTGGATTGATAGCTGGATGGATGATGAATGGGTGGGTGGGTGGGTGGATGAGTGGGTGGCTGGATGGATGGATGATGGATAGATGAATGGATGGATACATGGGTTGATGGATGGATGGATGAGTTAGTAGATGAATGGATGAATGATGGATGAGTTAGTGGATGGATGGATGGGTACATTATGGATGTGTGAATGGATGATGTATGTGTGGATGGATGCATGGGTGGATAGATTTCCCCTTTCTTCTTTTTCCCTCTGCCCTCCCTCCTCCTCTCCCCTCTCTCCTCCTCCCTCTATCAGCCCATCTCCTGACTAAAGCTAGAGAAGCAGAGCCATCCCAGGAGAGGCCGTCTAAAGTGTCTGGTTACTGCCCGGCGTACAGCCTCACGGTTCCACAGCAGGGCTGCCAGGAGGTGGCCTGCCGGAGGGAGGAGGGGACAGGAAGGAGCTCAAAGGCCGCCCAGCCATGGTGGAGAGGCCCCGGCTTCTGGGGAATGCGTGTGCGGGTCTGAGGTGGGGGGGCGTGAGAGAGTCTGAGACCCAAAGGGCAGGTCAGACGCTGAGCAGAGGAGCCGGGCCTGGGCTGTGCTACAGCGTCGTTAAGGAGGATGCCAGCCAGCCAGAGAGCTCAGAGCACCTCCTTCCAACGCCTCTTCCTGCTGGGGCACCGACCTTGACCTCTGGGGACAAAGGCTGGGATTGTTAGTGACATGCAGAAGGGGTCCAACCCATCAGGACCTGAGGGTGGGGGAGGAGGGGCCTGGGAAGGGGGGGTGCAGGCCCTGAGCCACCCCACCTTCCAGGTGCGACTGTGCGCCCGGCTACAGCGGGAAACTCTGCGAGACGGACGACGACGACTGTGTGGCTCACAAGTGCCGGCACGGGGCCCAGTGTGTGGACGGGGTGGACGGCTACTCCTGCCTCTGCCCCCAGGGCTTCAGGTAGGACGGGGAGGAGGCAGCCTGGCACCAAGTGGACCCAGCGGTGTGGGCGGGGCTATGCCTGAGGGGCGGGGCTGTGCCTGAGGGGCGGGGCCCAGCTGGCTGGCAGGATGCTGATTGAGAGTGGGCGGGGCCTACTGTGGGTTGGTGCTCCCTGCATGCAATGGGATGCAAACAATGCAGGTTGACCCTGGGCAAAGGCTGACTGCACAGCCGTGAGCCCGGAAGGAGTGTTTCCAAGGCCAGTCTGTTCCAGAGCCCACTGGATGAGTCCCTGAGACTCCATCCGAAAGCCAGACTGGAACCGTGGTTCAAGCAGTAGAACACCGGCCCAACAAGCAGAGCCAGTGTGAGCCCCAGACACTCCCGGAATTCCCAGAAGGGGCAGAGTAGGCAGAGACTTAGAGGAAGAGGACTGGCGCCGCCGGTGTCAGCTGCGGGGCTGCCCACCGCCCGCGTGGGCCGGAGGTTTCTTAGGAATAACGGATGCCTCCTCTTCTCGGCCCGCCCCTTCTCCCTCACCCCCACGCCCCGGCCCCTCCCTCCAGCGGGCTGCGGTGCGAGCACCCCCCGCCCATGGTCCTGCTGCAGACCAGCCCCTGCGACCAGCACGAGTGTGAGAACGGCGCGCAGTGCATCGTGGTGCAGCAGGAGCCCACCTGCCGCTGCCCGTCCGGCTTCGCGGGCCCCCGCTGCGAGAAGCTCATCACCGTCAACTTCCTGGGCAAGGACTCCTACGTGGAGCTGGCCACCGCCAAGGTCCGGCCCCAGGCCAACATCTCCCTGCAGGTGGGCGTCCCCGCCCTGCCCTGCCTGCCCTGGGAAGGACCCCAAGCCCTGGCTGTGCTGAGCCCAGCCTGGGCGCCCCGAGTCATGGCATCCCCCCCTCACGTCCCCCTAAGCACCTCAAGCCTGGCCAGGCAGTCCGTGAGCACCGTGGACGCGTGTAGTGGGTGCTCACTGAGGGCCCGGTGAGCACTGACTGCTGGCCCGGCCGCTGTCCCCGGACAGGTGGCCACCGATAAGGACAACGGGATCCTCCTCTACAAGGGGGACAATGACCCGCTGGCCCTGGAGCTGTACCAGGGCCACGTGAGGCTGGTGTACGACAGCCTGAGTGCCCCGCCCACCACGGTGTACAGGTGAGGAGCGGGAGGGGAGGCCCTGGCCGCAGCCCGAGCACTGGCTCCCGCGGGCTCCCTCGCCACCTACTGGTCACATACAGCATCCAGGTGGGGGGCGGTGGCGGTGGGGGGAGGGGGAGCAGCACAGGGCCTGAGGAGGAGACGCCAGTTCAAGGCCGGTCCCCCCTGTAAGGCTGCGGCTCATGTCCAAGTGGAGTCACTGTGCTGTGTGTGTGTATGTGCGTGTGTGTGTGTGTGCATGTGTGTGCTCTGTGTGTGTGTGCTCTGCGTGTGTGTGTGCGCTGTGTGTGCATGTATGTGTGTGCTCTGTGTGCGTGTGTGCTCTATGTGCATGTGCTCTGTGTGTGCATGTGCGTGTGTGCTCTGTGTGTGCGCATGTATGTGTGTGTGCTCTGTGTGTGTGTTCTGTGTGTGCGTGTGTGCATGTGCGTGTGTGCATGTGCGTGTGTGCTCTGTGCATGCATGTGTGCGTGTGTGTGCGTGTGTTCTGTGTGTGTGCTCTTTGCATGTGTATGTATGTGTGTGTGTGCGTGTGTGTGCTCTGTGTGTGTGTTCTGTGTGTGCTGTGTGTGCGTGTGTGCTCTATGTGTGTGTGCTGTGTGTGCGTGTGTGCATGTGCGTGTGTGGCGTCCAGCTGACGGGGCGGCGCGTGGGCGCGCTGGGTGGGAGGCCTTCTCCGTGTTGCAGTAGTAAGCGGGTGCGCCCCCTTTCCTGCCCAGTGTGGAGACGGTGAACGACGGGCAGTTCCACAGCGTGGAGCTGGTGATGCTGAACCAGACCCTGAACCTGGTGGTGGACAAGGGCGCCCCCAAGAGCCTGGGGAAGCTGCAGAAGGGGCCGGCGGTGGGCGCCAACAGCGCCCTCTATCTGGGAGGTAACGGCCCGCGTGGCCCCGCACCCTGGGTGCTGCTGCTGCTGCTACTGCTGCTGCTG